ATCAACTTTGATATGAAATACACCCTTTTCTTTACTCTGTGGATGCAATTCTTTTTTACCAACGTTTAGAATTATATAATTTTAAAAGTTGGTCGAAAACGATTTGGCTGCCGCCGACGGAGGAAAGGGTGTATTTCAAAACAAAGTTCATATTCGAAATGCGCATAAAATTCTCTTTCTAGTCCATGCCTTTTTGTTTTCCGAAAAGTTTGCAAAGGCAAAATATCGAGGGCTTCGGAAAAACATCTTTGAAAAATCAAAAATTAATGCTAAAAATCGGCGGTTTGCGGATATCGATAGATAATTCAATTCTGCATAGAGCTGTTAAATCAGAAAAATTGTAGACATTCGCTGTATTCTCTCAAAACTACATTCTAATTTAATGGTGAAACTATATCATAACTATGATATTAGTCAAATATTGTTGAAATATATGAATGACAAGGCAATAGTGGCGACATCAATATTGACTAGAAGGTCGTTATCACATTTAACAACAATTATACTGAAGCCATTCACTCAACAGTGTATGAAATGTAATCAGAAGTTGATACCAACATTCAAACAATCGGTTACGGTATATTTATTCGATCGTATACGAACTGGATCGATATACAATGCATCATGTTGTGATATTACATATTTTCCAGATTCTCTTAAAGATGATCGACAAGGAACAACCATGATTTGTGTACAAAGTATTTATAACCAAGAATATGTGTACTTTAGTGAAAAAAATTGTTATCATATAAATGTTCTGATCGATTTTTCGACTCAGTTTCTATCGTCTTATACTGGCTTTCGCAATTATGCCGAATGCTATAACAATCGGTTAAAACGTTTACAACAACAAAAACTCCAAATGTATGAGACAATAATTCAAGATGAGCATCCATTAGATCGAAGACAATTGCAACGTGATTGGTTTATCTATGAATGTAGTCTGTATTCATTTTTCATAAAACAATTAGATTATTTTATAATATCATCGACATTAAATGACGTTCATGTAACAAATTTCTATGAAAAAAATTTTAGTTGCTGGTATGAAGCGTTTGTCATGTTTTGGCTACACACCACAACAATATAAATGTTTGAGAACATCAGAAAAGCAATCCGATGACGATCAAGGTTGCGGACAAGCTTTTGTCACAGACGGTTTTCAAAAAAGCGACCGACATATTTGTTCAAATAAGAATAAATTTATATCGACGAGGGAATTTCCTGAACTACACTTCGGATGTGGTCGAACGCCATCAAGAATCCCAAATAGAAAAGCAAACAATGGCGAACAAGCGCTATATCGTGATACGTGTAAAGGTGCATTATTAATTTCGGATGAAATGTGTAAAAACTCAAATGATGACGAGTCAAAAGGTATTTTTAGTGGGTGTAACGTACGTCGAATTGACCGTTTTGTTGGAAAAACGAGAAAAACATCCAGTGGAATTATATATACCTATAGTCCATGCGGTATTGTGTTGGCTTTCGACGAACTATTCCGTTCAGAACAAGTATTTATTTGTCTCTGGCATTGGTTCAAATTATTGGATTGTGTTCAACAATTCTACGATGGTACATTAATATCAAAATGCTTTATATATGATAACGCATGTTCAGTGTATTTATATTTACATAAAAATTATGGAAAATTAATCAAGAAAACCAATGCAAGTCAATTTGTATTCGAGTCGGAATTATTTATTGATAAACTGCACCAGAAAAATCACAGAAGAAATATGTGTGAAAACGAAAGAAACATTAGAAAGCACCCGAAATATGCACACTTAAATACTGTTGTCTGTGAACAGACTAATTCTGTGATAAAACAGTATCAGAATAAATTGTCAGCGTATTGTGGTCGTAGATCAAGTATCATTTATTTATTATTATTTCATCTGCTCAATTGCAAACGAAATGGTTTGGCTGGTGGCGAATGCAGTAGACAAAATGCGCGAAGACGCCATTCGAACGATCCCCAAGTACCAGGTAAGGTATAAATTCACATTTGCATGCAACTGTTCATATTCCTTACTCTGACGATACTTTTAATTTAGCTAATCCAAGGACGAATACAGATATGACAGATATATATTCAAATCAAACTTTTCTCAGCGGATATACAATGATCAATCCAGCAATTAATTAATCAGTCAAAAAAATATTTATGACATTCTCGAATAGTTCGTGGTGGTTAGTTGACAGATCAAAACGTACTGATGTAAACATATCTAAGATTATAACATCCTAGCTAATGTACCATTGTTTATGTTTTTTCAACGTGCGTAAATAAAATCTTCAATTACCTTCTATATATACTAAACTAAGTGTTGTAACTGTCTCTGTTATATTCATTTTATACGTATTCATTAGATAATCACTTCTAGAGAAATATTTGTCGAACTACTCTTCATGCTAATATAAATTACGATTACTATCTGAATAGAGCTCGAACAAAAAGGAATAGAGGCTACTACTTTTCTCGTTTTCGTTCGTCCTAATTACAAGATATGACCTCAAAGCAAAGCGCAAGCACTAAGCAGCCTTATTTCTGCAAACAACATTTCACATTGCAGAAATACTTAATGACATACCTATAGCTCAATTAGCATAGAACTAATCACTCTGAAGTTTTCAACACAATGATCGACTCTACATCGCGCGTATAATTTTAACAACCAACCAGGTTTTAATAAACACTTCCGACACTGCTCTTAATCACGAGATTATGCTTTAAACTTGTGTCATGACACGTTTGACATATGTCAAACATGAATGTATGAATGATGAATGTTTGACCGTCTATCGGTACCGGTTTGACACATATGATGACAGCAGAAAATTGCGTCATGACACGTTTGACATATGTCAAACATGAATGTATGAATGATGAATGTTTGACCATCTATGGGTACCCGTTTGACACATATCACGAGCGCACAAAATTGTGTCTTGACACGTTTGACATATGTCAAACATGAATGTATGAATGATGAATGTTTGAACATCTATGAGTATCGGTTTGACGCTTGTCGTGACGGCGGGGAGGGGGCAAGTTGAGTGTGAGCTAGCTAAACAGGATGACAGCACGTGACATATGGGAAATTGGAATGGATGATTTGTGCAAGGCTTCTGTTTGATTGTTGATAGATTCTCGAACATTCATAACATTCATAGCTTGACGTTTTGACAACAAAGTTATGACCGCCCTCGTAAGAAAAGCATTTTGCTTAACGTCGCACGTTATGCTTTCTCTCTTCTGTAATTTTATCGTCATCCGTGGCCTATACTATACATGTATAGTATACATGTATAGGTCATGAGAGACGAAAGAACAGATACTAGAAAATTAACGCTTCTTGCGTCTTACACCCCATCACTGTGTACAACGATCGGTTAAAATATTTTATTTTGTATGAGTGAAAACAAAAGTTTCTCATACGTCATTTCAATACAACACGAAGAAACCGCGAGAAAAAATCCTTTTCTTTCCTTCAGCATAGGCTACCTAATGTCACATTTATATTCCTATATGAGCATAAAAAAGATGTGCTATACGCTAAGGCTCTATTACATACAAAAACAGCGAAATTCATTGTTTTTCTTTATTCTATATTTTTCGTTCAGTTTAATTTAAAGTTTATTCATTTAAGAAAGAGAAATAAGAATAGTCATTCTACACAGATGCGGTCTAGGCACATATCAGAGGAAAATGACATTAAATGATATAAGTGATTACGGATAAAACGTTTCTATCCTTCATCTTAAAATGTCTAGTAGACATACAAAAAAACTGTTAGTTAGTTTCTTTTCGTTAAAAGTCTCCACAAGTCTACAAGTCTCTTCTTTCGCATGGAAAAAATCGGAGCTCTCTGACTGCTTTCTATCAAAAGTTATTCAAAAAACACCCATGGTTGTTCTATTTTGGCGTTTTTCTCAAAACTCGTTTTTGTTCGAACATGCCCAGTGTGGAACCCTTTTTTTAAATATACTTCAAGCTAGAGATCTCGGGTTGGTTTTATTTTAAGCTAGACACGTAAAGAATACTTTTTATAGGAGACGAATACTTTTGATAGAAAGCAGCCAGAGAGCTCCGATTTTTTCCATGCGAAAGAAGAGACTTGTGGACATATTTCCACAAGCATAATTATTTTCTGAAGAGTTTTTGAAACTGGTTTTCTAGGAGATCTTTGAAAAACCAGGTAATCAATCATGCTGAGTCTCGTGGCAATATTTGCTTTTAGAAAAAGTTCTTAGAAACTATCGAAAAAGGAGTTTTACGAAAATTGCGGTTTTCAGGCTGTTTTCAATTAATATTTAAACATTCACTGTTCGCTCGCTCAAAATACATCAGAACTAGTTCAAAACTTCAGGATATGGTCAATTCTGCCCCCTAAACGTGATTATAAGATCGGAAAATCAAAAAAGCATATTTTTGTTAATGGGTTTTCCAGAAAACCTTTGGAGAAAACCTTAGAGTTCTGTAAAAGCTCTTTCTAGATATCCTGTGAATAGGATATAGAACAGCCTAAATACTTTACATTCTGAAGTTTAGAACTCGTTCTGATGTATTTTGAGTGAACAGTGAGTTTGTAAATATTAAGTGAAAACAGCCTGAAAACCCCAATTTTCGTAAAACTCCTTTTTCGATAGTTTCTAAGAACTTTTTCTGAAAGCAAATATTGCCATGAGACTCAGCATGATTGATTACCCATAGTCCATTCGTTCTCCAGGCTACCAATAGTCACCAGGTGCCAGTCCTGGGACTGGTAGCAAATCCGATACAGCGCCCAAGCCGCGGGAAATCAAGGTGTCGTTTGACTCCCATCTTCAAGAGGTGATCCCGAGCTATCAGCCCATAAAAAAAATCAATACAATCCTATTTGAAAATTTTTACACACGACCTGATTTTTCAAAGATCTCCTAGAAAACCTGTTTCAGGAAACTCTTCTGAGGACTCTCTAAGCTTGTTCACCCATGCATCATCATTTAACACAATAGATAGCGGACGTATTTTCTTGTTGTTCCGTCTCTATATGTATATATACATATCGTATATGTACACATGTTTCTTTATGACCTTTTTGTACTTAAACACATATATATAACGTCTTAATTTAATAATTTGATGAAATAATTATGACTTATGCACAACAAACTGAATATGAGAGGTACAATAGTATGAATACAAGAGAACGTGACGAATTAACTACGGGTTGTTTAGAAGAAATATCAAGTTCTCGTACTTAACCGCAGTCTGGGACACCGAAACGACCACGACAGCAACATAATGAGGATTTCGAAAACGACCCGGATGTTCAACAGATCACTGGGAAAAAAGCGAGGCGTCTTCAACGAAGTGGAGTAAATCAAACTTATCCAAGTAGAGCTTACAATAATTTGAATAGTAACTTCAACTCGAATCAAAATTTCAATAAAAATGGTCGACAATATAATTTTAATCAGATATATTCTCCTCGATTTCAAGAGCAGAATGAAAACGAGCGATCACAGCAACCTAGTCAAATTAGTGTATCTCCACAAGCGTTAAGGTTTGCAGTGGCAGATCGTTCCCCCAATAAAGATCGAATGTGCTCCCAACCTGGTGAATCAACAACAAGGTGCTAATTTGGTGAGAAGCTTATTCAAAAAAATTGATAACGATTTTAGAAAGTTAAATACTCGGTTTCAATATCCAATAGGATTTGAACATTTTGTTGTCTATCGGAACGGTGTTCTATTATGTTTTACAAGCTCTATTGAAATTTTTATTTATTTTTGTAATTGTACACATCACCCCACGGAGTTGAACAATGTGAAATTGAAACCAATTTTGCCATCAAAATTACCCGTACAACACGCTGTTATTCTTAAATATATTGATAATCACTTATCGTATGAAGAGGTGAAAATGGATATTGAAGAAAAATGAAAAAGTGTTTACTCAATAGAAGAAATGTTGGGCACGCAGAATTATCGGTCCCGTCACATTCGGGTAGATTTATTGTCTAAAGACGATTATGAAACCATCTAAACTGTGGTAAAATCTCGATAAGTGGTCAGCTTGATGATGTCGATGAATTCCTTCCATCTCCAAAACTTCTTATATGTAGTAAATGTAACAGTCCCGAACATATGCGAAAAAATTGTGGATGTACAATTGAAGTATGTAGAAGATGTAGTAAAGATAAAACGGATGGTTTTGATCACAAGGAATGTGATATCAAGTGTCATCATTGCGGTGGAGACCACGAATCAACAAATTTCAAATGTTCATACATACATGGTTTTCGTCAAGAGTTAATTAAAAAATTGAAAAATAATCCTCGTTTCTTACCACCACATGTCCAACTTTTTCTTTCCCAACGTTATCCCGATCACGAAGGAAAACGAACTTTAGATAATGGCCAAAGTTTTTCTTCCAAGGTGGAACAACAGGGTCAATTTTTTGAGAACAAGAGCAAGGTATGGCCATCTCTGAATTCAAATACACCGCCACATCAAATAAATTCAAATCCAGATTCACTCTCAACATTTAGTTTTGAACTTAAAAAACTACAGGACGAGTTTGATAAAATCAAAAATGAGTATGAAATTAAATTGCTTAAAACTAAAGAGAGTTGTGATAATCAAATGAAATGAGTTGCTCAAGGATGGCAATTACTCAATCTGCAGATCAAGACACAAGCGGAAGCAGTGGTAGACGTGTATACGGTGGTTTGTGAAATAATACCACCGATAACCCAGTCGATCCAGATTGTTAATCAAGTACTCGAAAAAGTTAATTCTAACGTAACCGATATCAATGAAAGACAACGGAATGATCAAATGTTAACATATGAAGTCGAAATAGATTTGGCTGAAGATTTTTTGCAGACGAGTTGAAGAAAAATCTTTTTTGCAAGTTACTTATTAGCATAAGGACATGACTAATTCGAAAATATCTCTTCTCAGGTCTTTTC